GGGTTTTAAACAGAGAAGCCGAACAGGAGAACAGTGAACACCAGAGCCATGCCAGAAGCAGAGACAAAGCCACTAAAGTGGAGTCAGAAAAAGGCAAAACACAAATAAATTGATTTCGAAACTCCAAGCCCCGTCTGTATTTTTGGATGCTTCGAAGTCCAAGCTCCGAGCGTTTTGCGGTGGATGAGTAAGAAGATTGCATGTCAACAACGACTTGCCGTCGTTGGCACTGGTTCCAGGAGCGCACTTCAGCTTCAGGTGGCCAGGGCACCAAAGGAAAAGGGCACAGAAGCCCTTCTGAGAGGTCTCCCGTCCTGGGATGAGCGGGTCCAGACTGTGGATTGCTGTCACCCTGCTGATTACCAAGATTTGCGGGATCCTTCTGTTCCTTGAAGGGTTGGGAGAACTGCTGACAGTTAACATAATTGCCCGGCAGGATGCTGGTACGGCCTAGGAATGCAACCGAAATCCGGATGCTTGTCTTCCGCTGATTTCCCACTGAGTTCTGGCTTCAAGCATCTTCAAGCTCTTGGAACGGCAACCGCACCAAAACGAAACTACGAGCATGCACATGCATGCACATGGTGGTCGCGTGCTGGTGGCCCCTTCTGCCCTGCATAGGCCCCTGCTCAGTCACACATGCCTGGAACCATTGCACTGTCCCTGCCTTGAGGAAAGAACTCGAGCTGCATGTCCGGCACCCCCATAGCCGAAAAGGAGCTGGACCTCCCCAAGGTGTTGAGGCCCCCCGCGCTTTCATGAGGCTTTGGGGCAGGTACACTGCAAGTATACTCCCCCTTGCACGACCGAGAGCTGCGCTGCCAGACAAGACGAGAAGTGAAGAAGTGGCTGCCATGTCGAAGCAAAAATCTGCTTGTACTTCCGAGCTCAAAATCCAGGCGAAAGACAGCATCTTCACGAACCTCTAGGATTCTGGGATGCTGGCCAGATGCACTGGTTGTTGGACATCTTCCTCCGAAGAAGTTGTGATTAAGCTGACAGCTCGGGAATCAAAGCTAAAAGGTCTTCAGGCTGCCAATATTAATTGAGGCACAGGGCTCTCGAGGCTTTAAGATGTGGCAGCTCATGCCCGTCCCCGGAATTGTGCTTGAACCAAACCTTCGACCCGCAGTCAAGGCCTGATGGTCTCGCTGCACTTCTGCAGCTTCCATTCCACCCTCCTCGCACAGCACTAAAGACAGGAATACAGAGAGGCTTGACGGCTTGACTCGTGTCACTCAGCCTCCAGAAAAGTCATGAAGGCATAAGTCTCCGACATTGGAGAGGACTTTGGAGACCGTTTGTTACTGCACATCTGAGCAATCATAAGGAAGGCTTCGAACCTGCATGAAGAGCTCAAAAAAGGTAGACGCCGAAACCCAATACCGAAAGGCAAAACAGTCAAAGGGCGACGGCCTCACGAAGGCAGTGTCGATGCCTCAATAAATACTATCACTCTCGCGCGCTTTGCAATGTAAAAAGCTGGTTTGAGCTGAAGAGGATGATCGCGCTTTTCGCAGAAGCCTTCATAGATAATGCTGCTTTGACCAAAGACTCCCTGTTCTCAAGAGCAAAGACGCAAGAGGGTCTGCTCAAACAAGGGTAACAGACGCCCTGGCATGTTGTTTTTTCTCGGGAGTTTGCCACGATTGGCTGAATTCAGCTCGCCGCTGAATTTGTTGAAGCTTTGGTTGATTAGCCTGCCATGCCGGAGTTTCGGAAAGGCCTGAGCTTGGCATTGCAATAAAACCATCACGGACTTTTTGATCTGCCTCCGGCCTCCAACAACCCCAAACGCGAACACCTGGTTGAAGGCCAAGCTGCCAGAAAGTGGGTCCGTCGCAAGACGCCGCGCTCGGCCTGTTTGCTATATTCGGGGACGGCAGCCGGCAGGCTCGAGTAAGAGATGTCCAACCCGTGTGCTTTGAATGCTATCCTAAACTCATAGTCATACGCACAAACGACGGCGAAGTTTGCAGCCTGAACGCCTAACATGACACCTCCGGCCTTGGACTTTTGACACATTCCCACCTCTCAGGCACATACGGCTTTGATTACTTACAGTAGCGCTCAACACGAACGATTCAAAACAGTCTGCGACTTGTCATTGCGAATGAGCGCATGTCGCACACATATGCATATGTGTGTATGCACACACACACATATATATATACAAAGAACGAAAAACACAAAACAGACTAGTTATCTGGCTCAAGTTTCTGCATTCATTCATCCATTCAGTCAGTCCGTCACACAGACAGTCAGTTAGTGAGTCAGCCAACCAATCAGCCAGCCAGCCAGCCAAGCGGTCAGTCAGTCGTTCAATCCTTGATTCATTCCTTCCTTCATTCCTGCCTTTATTCATTCCTGCATTCCTTCCTTCCTTCCTTCCTTCCTTCCTTCCGTCCTTCCTTCCTGCCCTCCTTCCTTCATTCCCTCCGTTCTTTAGTCATCGCTTCGCAATGATAAACTCATTTATTTGTTCAATCATTCATAAATCTATGCAGGACTGCCTATATTGGCGCATCTGGCTACTTGTTGGTATCTGTCTGCTCATTTCTTATGTGCATGTCTGGATGCTGGTGCTGACATATATACACGTACATAATGTGTGTGTGTGCCCCCCGCATGTCCGTGCCCTTACCGACGGCATGCACGTGCGTGTATGTGTGTGTAAGCATATGTACATACATATACACATATGTATGCATGTATGTATGCATGCATGCATGGATGTATGTATGTATGTATATATGTGTGTGAACATAACACGCTCTCTCCATACCCCGACTTTGCCACTTCCGTGGCTCAAGATCGTGATGCACTTTGAGCAGTCCCTGGAAAGAGGCGCTCTGTGACCTTGTCGGTTACTTTGATCTGGAGCTGAGTGAGCAATGCACGCAGTACTTTAGGGTATTGTTAGTGTGCTATCTGAGTACGTTGTAATTTCGCATGGTACTGTAGCGGAGCTGAAAGCCCCAAGGAATTTTGGTGAGAAGACATGGACTTAGGAGGCGAAGGAGACTTTGCCTGAGACTTTCAGCGGCAACTGCCGACTGGGAAGAATGGGCCTGGAAATTTAAGCTCTACATCTCCATGTTTGACACAGGCGCTGTTACTTTGCTACACAATGCAGAGCGAAGAACAGATGAGTTTTTGGATGAACAGTTGAATGTCACTTTGGATATAGGTGATGTTGATGCCGAGCAAACAGCGGCCCGAGTACTTTTCTCCTGGAAGCTACATTATCCGACTTTGCAACTTGTGAAAGATTCGGCCAAGCTTACAGTTCGACAAAACGAGGATAGCAATGGCTTTGAGACTTGGAGGAGACCAGGAGCTACGAGGAACACGTCACTTGTGACACAGCTCTTGGACTTCAAGTTCAACCCCCCAACCTCTGCTGAACAAGATCACGGGAGTTCTGCAACAACATTTGAGATTGAACGCTCGAAGTTTGCAAACCTTTGCTGAGGTGCGCGGGGTTATTCTCGAATAGCATCGCTCTCGACTTTCGATGAATTCAGTATCTTCATCTTCAACACTACACTATTCTAGCCAAATTGAAAAGCTAGCCACCAGCTGAGTCACAGACGTTCTGCGAAGGCCTGGGCCCGTGTCTTGAGTAGGGCAACCTGCAGCTGAAGATTAAATAAGGTCACTGGCGAACGACCTACAGCAATGGCAACGGGCAGAAAAGCGCTTGAGGTTTTCAGGGTGCGAAGCTTTGACCGGGACGGTGGGGAATCAACAACCAGGAAAGCCTAGGTTGCCTTGCAGGCTTGTGACTCCGCCGGATGTTCAAGACCCGATGTATCGAGGCTTTTGGATCTGGCATGTCTCGACCCCTCACTAGGGAAGCAGCCAGGTAGTTCGGTTCACAGAAATCAACTCTTTACCGAAAGAGCGACACACCGACCCGTCCAACATCTCGCACCCATGGACTGGGCGGCCTCGTCCTCCAACCTTGCAGAGTGGTCCCAAATTTTCGCCAAAGATGGGAGTGCTTTGGAGGGCAGTGGATGAATGTGCTCTTAGCTTAGGGTTCGGCTCGAGATGTGGAGTGTTGCCCATAGTGCTGTCTGCAAGTCTGAAAGTGCTGGAGCCTGCAGAGCTGCAAAAAAGCAAAGCCGAGTCGCGACTTCAGCTGCTTGGCCTGCAGCTGGCACTGGTCCGCCAGCATGTCCTGAAGCATCTTCACCTGCTCACCCTCACCCCCATGCCCAAAGCTTGATCCGCATTCCTGCTGAAGATCAAAGTTCCAAGGCAGGCCGATTTCCATGAGCATGAAGTGGTCGGCAGATGCCGACTTTCTTTTTTGCCGAATCAGAAACTTCGGTAGTTGTTCGTCTGTGTGCATTCGCATGTAAGGAATAATCCGTCGCACCTACATGTTCAGAACCCTGTAGGAGACAGCTTTTTGTGGACTTTTTGGGCTTAAGCATGGAGGTTGCGCCTCCACATCCACATCCTCCATGGCTGAGGGCTCTGTGAGGGAAGCTGCCTGAGCCCTGAACTTTAGGATCTTGCCTGCTGTTGCCTTCGAAGCCCCGGCTCGAGGGCTCGAAGGGTAATCTCTCAAGCACTGCCTGTCTAGAACTCCATGCACCACAAGTTGGACGGTCACCTCCAAGATGATCCCAGCTGATGTCAGTTCGCACGTCCATGCTGTACGGTCTAGTGCTGACAGTCCTGATAGACTGCAGTGCCACACTCCGAGGCTGAAAATCTGGAGCCGAAACTTCTCACACTCCGGCACAGCGGTCCGTCTGAAGCTTTGCATGAATCGTGCAGAGCGGATGGCATACCGTGCCACTACCTGGTGAAGAAAGACTAGGTCTCGCGCTACAGCTACAGAGGCAGCACCACACCGCTACAACGCTACGGTCCCCAGAAGTGACTGGTAGCCGAAGAATTCAATAGAAGAATCCCTCACAGGAAGCAGAGCTCTGCCAGCACTTTCTTGGGACATGGACTCGCGGCGGTCGCAATGTTGCACCTCACCATGCCTCGCAGCATCTATTGATGCGAGCTCTCAAAGTCTCCAGGGCGACTGCAGGTTTCTTGTGTTTTTTGTGGTTCAATTCTGCACTCTGGCAAGGTATTGCGTTGCAGAGTTGCTCGGCTTTGGGGGGGGTGCAGTACTTATCGTGATCTTCCATGCGGAAATACATCCCTGAAAGGCTTAACTTAAGCAGACAATTTTGTACTCCGCCGAATGCATGCTCCACACCTTGCACTTGCTTCTTGAACTCTCAATGAAGGGGAACACAGACCAACAAGCCAAGAACAAGAGAGTCAGAGAGCTAGCAGGTGACGACACCAGCTGCCGGGCAAGACCAAGCAACTTCACAAACAATCCTCGGGGATGCGGGAGGCCTTCTTTCCGCGACTTCTGTAGCCTCCTGGCTCAGAGCAGGTTGGCACACCCTCAGCGTCGTGGAACCAACTCTAGCGATGTGGCAGACTCAGACATGGATCGAACAATCCACAAGGGAGGGCCAAATACTTTCCCTGAATTTCTGCAATAATGACAATGATTGACAAAAGCTTTACACTTCACAGAATCCTGTAATGAAGCACATAAATATCTGTCAGGTCTCTGGGATATTCGTCGATATGCACTTCGACAGTTCATCTGGCAAGCTAAATGTGAAAGTCTGCGTCCCATCCTGATCCTCGTTGAGCAGAACGGGCATCTGCCTCTTCAAACCGCTCGCTGCACTTTGCAATGTAAGAGATCGGGTCCGCACTCTAAACGGTGTCTGTCGGCTTGCACCCTCATCTTTTGTACTCCCACTTGGCAGCCGGACACTAGTTTTGCACCGAGAGGCTGCTTTTGCTGACGTTTAGATCTTGCTGCCAACCCTACTGACCCGGGGGGCTCCAAACAATCACCAAGAGACTCCAACACTCCGTACCCTTGCTCGAACTACATGTCAAGGTTAGGGTACTCGGATAGTCTCAAGCTGGGCTTGAGTTTGGAGGTTCACCGCTTGGGGATACAAGGGCCTTAACACTTCCAGTAGAGTGGGGATTTGGGGTATAGTATAGTATAGTATAGCATGGTTATGATGAGAAGCCCTGAGGAATAATTTTGGTAACTATTCAGGCTTCCACATTAAGCCCAAACCTCTGCCGAGTGAGAGGTAAAGCTTTGGGCTGCTTTTTCATGTAATGGGGCAGATGCGATTCAACGACACAGAGCAGATGATATTTCGAGTATCTCATAAAGACACCTCCTATAAACTCTCACCAACGTCGCGAAAGATCCGTAAACTCGAAACAACCTTATCCTTATCCAGACCCTAAACGTAAAAGCCCGTTAAGACCTTCCTGACATATTGACTGCGGGCTCTAGCACTTCACGTTTGGAACCCTTGCGAGAGTTAGGACGGCCAGCGGCTAGAGGTTGCCAAGTGCCTGGAGATGGACAGGTGTTCTCTCTGTGCTCTCGCAGCCGCCCCCGCACTAGCTCGGTAACGGTCAGGAAAGCCCAACACTTCTTCGTAAGAAGTCGAAGAGTGGGGTTTGAGGCTACAGTACATCGTTTCGGCGAAGTGCAAACGGAACGCATCGCGGGAGCCAGCAGCGACTTCTGGCACCCGAAGATATCTCAATCCGAGGGTCTTGCTCGGGCCTCCGTCCTCATATCACCCACATTCCATCAATGCACCCAAGAAGCCTCAAGGACAAGCTGAAGCCAAAAGCTTGAACCATGACATTGAAAGGGAGAAGAGAAGGTTTGGGCGCTGCGAGTTCTGAGCGTAAGGATCCAATGGGGTTTTGCTCCATCTTGGGAATCTCGAGAACTGGGTGAGATCAATTTTGAAGCTGAGTTCAAGGGATCTTTACCTTGTGGATGTCTCTACTTGAACAGTCCATGGCCACCAACACACAGCTACCAGCACGCGGGGAGCTCAAAACAACATGCATTGTGTATGAGATCAATTTTAGACGAACTGCACTGCCGAGGGCCGAGACTCCCTCCGACGCCTTCAAAGCCAAAAGTCAACGAAAGTTCAAACATCCTACTACACCTCAAGCCCACACTCCTGCACAGAGGCCTGGGGATATGCCCACCAATTGCTGTCCCAACCCTGACGGGCAATCGTTTGCATGAGACTCATTCATGTCGGGTCTATTCGGATATTCCAGCTCTTTGGCTTCACTTTTAGCAAATTTCAAGTCTCTTCCACACTTCGTCTTCGTTAATGCCAAACTTCTGCCGTATACAGGAACAAGCCCGAAAACCACCGGGCCCAACAGTAGCAAACCAGAAAAAGCTTATGCCAATCTTGCAGCCTCCAAGCCAGGACCTGCAAGGACCTGCAAGGACCCAGCCGGGCCTGCCACTCCCAAGCAGAATCCGGCCACCACTCGCTGGCCTTACCGGACAAGGGGCTTCAAAGGGTGGTCGGTCTCAGATCACATACGGCGAAGGATCTCCTCTCCGAAAAGCAAAGTGAGGCTGCTACATAGATAGACAACAGGATACCAAAGCTGGCAGTGTACCTCATCCGCAGGCGGGAAGGGGATGGATCCTTGCAGGAGCAATAGCTCCGAAAGCCGACCCAGTCCGAGGACTAAGACAGCTTCCTCCGCGAGTCTCTGGCTTGGTAACCGGATTCTACTGCAACCTCTTCTGGAAAGGCGACTGCTCCTTGGCACGAAAACCTCAAGTACGCGGCAGCCCGCCACGTTCAGTCTGAAAGGACATACCCTACAATCATAATCGTTCAGCACCAGTCCTGACCAGACTCCAACAGATCATAGGACGTCATATAATTGAACGAAGCGTGTGACGCCAAACCCGACATTGCGCTGGGGAATGCATTGAAGCCTACACCGAACTCTTCAAGAACATCCTCCTCGCAGGAGGCTTAGCAGCTGCTTGCCAGCGCCATTGTCCTGATGATCAAGGGGAGGTCAAGCACCTGTTGTTACTGGTTGGAAACATGAGCTCGGCAACCGCGCTAGGGCACAAGCCTAAAACGCTTGATAATGGTTGCAACGCAACAACTACGATAATCATCACGGAAAACACAGCGCAAATAAAGGATAACTAGTGCACGGCGTTACAAATCAATCAGGTTGTAGACACACCAGCAAGTTCCAGGACCAATCACCCTCGTCGTACCGAAAACGCTCGTGATGGCCTCTCTCTTCTGCTGAAACAATCTGTAAAGCTTCCTTCCTTGCCCGCAGGCCTGCCCACGCTGGCTTTGCGATGCGCCAGCGCTTCCGACAGCTGTGCCTCCTCAGAACGTCAGACATCCAGGAATAGAGTTCAAAGCACGCTTGACGAGAATTCTAGATTCCTCAGACTGCTCGAGCGAGTATTCAGCCAAAATCACCGAACACAAGCTTGTTGGAGTGCATCCTGGTACCGTTACGTTAGTATCGAGGTCCCCAGACGCAGGTTTCACAACGAAACAGCGCATAGCAGCAACCTGGTCGGGCGGGCATCAACCTGATCTCGATCAAGCTCAACGCAGGCACTTCAACATGGAACCCTCAACCATGCAACTCTAAACCCATGCAGGGCCCGTAAACTGCAAGCTATGCACAGACCTCATCGAAAACGACGCTTGTCTAGCAACCTGTCCAACAAACTGGCTCTGCACGAAAGTCACTTCGCCAAAACTATTCACATCACGTAGTGCATGTGGGGAGGAGTGGACTCTGTGGATCAACTTCACCGCAGAACACATACGTGGGGTCCTCCGGAACTTGCAGAAGCGGTGCCCAGACCGAAGCGTTCAGCGATTGTCGCCGCCTTGCCAACGGGGCTGTCAAGCGGCTCTGTCTACGCTCAAGGCAACAATAAGGGTGTCAAGACATGTCAACGGTCTTATCCTGAAGTTGCGGAAGAGTCTTTTCGAGATCTTCACTTGTAATCACTGTTCATTGTGCTGGCAGTGGACATGAGTGGTGATGCTTCTGAAAGAATGTATTCCGGAAGAACCCCGCCTCACCAGTACATTCGCTCGCATCCTCAACCCAAATGGGCAATCAAACCTCCTTAACGCGGTAAAAACTCCTGAAACCCGCAATGAATCGCCTCCAGTTCAACATGCCAGAAAGGCAATAGCACATGTAACGAATGCCAATCGCACCATACTAATCATACAAACCAAAGTAACAGGGATGACGCCTGTGATCAGTCAATGGCATTAATACCATCATCGTCGTCATAAACAGAGACAGCCGCAGCAGCAGCCGCTGCAGCTGCTGCAGCATCATCCCCACGACCATTGCCAGCGTCATCAACATCCACACATCATCGAGAACATCACCACACCATCATCGTATCATATTGAAAGCGATGGGACCCATAACCAGGTACTTCATGCTTTAAGTAGAACTTGGCTCTCTTCGACATTAACAACACGCCCGAACTGCAAGTGCAAATGCCCAACAACAAGAAAAACCTTCACAACGACTGTAACAAGACCAGTCAGAACCGTAGTACAGGGTGCTTCGAAGCACACCGGCAAAGGAAGCCCAAGGCCTAAGGCCTAAGGCCTCAAGGCTTCCCTTTCATTTCGGTCCTTGTCCCGCCGGGTCGCCAAAGGCTCAAGGAGCTCCTCCTGCTTTGAATCGGCAGAGCTTTTTCTTCTGGATCGGTATTCGACGTGCCCAAGAAGACACTTCCCAAGCTCACAGGGGCAGCAGCTTTGCGGGTTAGTGTTCCCCGGAAGTTACACGGGGGGGAGTGGGGCAGATTGGGGTTTGCCTCTGGGCTCTTTGCACGGACCCGTCGGCAGACTGCAGCACATCAAACTAAGAGTGCGGAAGGCAAGACGGGCCGGAGTGCTCTTGGCCTTGTCGCGCTTGCAGGCATCTGCCCGAGCCTCAGACTCGGAGGGTTCAGAAGTGTCGCAGTCGCAGAATCACGAGGGCCCGGCAGCCTGGATGTCTCCCAATGAGGCTCCCTCGGGCAGGGCCTGCGACACTAGTGCCGCTCGACACAGTGATTGCAATCCGTAGATTCTCGGATCAGAGGCGGCCTGCTTTGAGCCTGCCTAGAGGCACTTGTGCGATGTTTGCAGGGGCCTTCAGGAGGCAGTGGGGCGGGGCCTCCTTTGTCTACTGCAACTTTTGTCATGGTTTCACAGCTTGCTTCATGATGAAAGCAACACTTGATTGTAAGCTGCACCGGCAAACACGACAGAGAGGGGAGGATCTTTTTGCATGTGCGCACTGAATCATCAAACCTGTCCATCCGAAAGGATAGATATCTCTGGAACACGCTGGGTTGCGAAGGGAACCTCAATAATGGGGAAACAAGTCGCAGCGTCAACAGCTCTCACATGTTGGTAAGTACGAAACCACGCCGCTACTACTGCCTCGCTCATGAACACCGAGCCTTATGGTTCAGGGTTCCTGGCATGTCTTGGCTGACACCAATGAGAGACATCGAGAAATCTAGAGGGGTGGGACAGATCGCGTCCCTGAAGCAACACACCCAGCAAACGAGTCTGTCTACCTCCCCAAGCGCAGCGGCCGGCTGTTTATGGGCGTACGACACGAGTTACGCCTGTACGGCATAGATGGTGGAGAGAACTGCGATACCCATTCTCCAAAGCACTTTCAAGATGGAACGTCTGGCGTTTTCTTGCCGATGCATGCACGCGGGGAACTAGACTCATTGGAAGATAGGAGGCATCCTGCAAACGCTTCACGCGCTGTCGGGAGGTCGCAGCCCGAGCAGGACTCAAGCCAGAAAGCTACACGCAACGATCTACTCGCCAAAGCCCATGAGATGCAGACTGCACTTGTGAGGGAGTGCAGTCTGCGGCTTCGCCCACCTGAGATGCACCAATGGGCTTTTGCAGTCTGCCTTCAACAGCCCAAGACTCCCTAAGCCTGAGCTGAAACACAGCACGCTTCAAACATGTTCAAACCAACTCCCAGTTTGCGCCCATTAATCTGTTCATGATGCCACAATGCGGCTCCGGTGAAGGATGTCAGCAACAGGCTGACTTCTCCTTGCGCCCCTTAGCCTGCCAGGCACTGGATTTTGCAGACTGGTTAGGGCCACTATAATTAGCCCCAACCCAACTCCTACCTTGCCAGCATCGGGTGTCTGCACATGGACAGAATAATGCATTGACCATTCGTGTATAGGTGTGCTGCTCCTGCGTACAAACTCAGCATGGTACAAGAAGCTCTCAATCATCAGAGAGGGTGGCGGTGCGGACAACTCTCGTGAGCATTAGGCAAGACAATAATTCAATAAAGCAAGCCAATAAAGGCTCCAACGCCAATTGTCCGACGCTGGCATGACACATCACCTACAAGTCGTAAATTTTCTAGTCTTGGAGATGAACTCAAAATCAGTCAATAACTGGCGACAGGACATGACCGACGAGCTTTCCTGCAACTGCAGGTATGGCCTGTCTCTCTTGAGCCTCCTTCATCTGGGCGGCTGCAGCATCGATTGGGTCATGCTTTTCCTCAGCCGGAGATACACCGCGGAGTAAAGCAGCCCTGCGGCATTTCGAACCTAGCGGGCCATAATTCATCGCGGCAGACAAACGACGGCGCGTGAGATGTGATCCCGCTCGAGGCCCTGCCACTGCGACAACCCGTGAGACCTTGCTGCCACAATGGCCGGCGGGAGGTGCTTCTCCTGCCGCTCCATCTCCTTTTGCTCCTCGAGGCGGTTTGTGCCTGGAGATGCTCAAACCCAAGCAAAAGATGCCTTGCCTTGAATTCGCTGACATTTCCGGATTTTACCAGCTTTAGGAGGACGGTAGGCCGACTGTCAGATGGGGAATGCACTCTTGGACACCGGGCTCCCTGGCCATCTGGCGTGGTGGCGCAGAACAGTGTATCAAGCCGGAGAGGGAGGGAGAGAGAGCGAGAGAGACAGCGAGCGAGAGAGAGACAGAGAGAGAGAGAGAGAGAGAGAGACAGAGTGAACGAATGGAGCCCACAGCATGGCCGAGTCCCTGAGACTCAGAGTAGGACCCGAATCAAGTAACCCATCCAGCTGTGGCCTCCGAAGCCAAGCCAGCTGCAAAACCTGCTGGACTCGCTCGGCTTGAAGGCTCGGAGCTGCTTTGTTTTCCAGTCGAAAGTTTGACTCATTGTAGTCTTGGTGGACCTGACAATTGGCACCCTCTATGTTTAGGGCTTAGGGCTTCGAAGTTGGGCGCTTGGGATTGGAGTTTACGCCTTAGCGCTGGAGGTCTGACTCGCCACTTTTGAACAGCCAAAGCTCTTCGCAGGGGATCTGAGTTCTGGGGCCAATGCGCATCCCAGGATCCAGCCTGGCGCCTACTTCCCTTCGGTCCGAGTGGCATCATCAGGAATATCCACACAACCAAAGCGATCGTTGTCAACACCTCAGGCTTTACAGCAGAAGTTGTGATACTTCAAACCCTAAGCCCGAAGCTGCTACTTCAAGTTTCTCCGGGTCTCGACTCTGTGCTGCTGTGGGGCCTATCTAGTGCGGCTCGCTAGCAACACTTCGTGCTGCATCATGCTAAACAAAACTTCGTCTCTAGCAAGTTTCAGCATCTTTCGTCGCCGATTCGACCTTGCAGACCACGAGCCTGAGCTACCATTCCTGGCTGGAAAGCTGAAGCCTGGGGATCCTTGAATGAGGCGAAGCCCTCATCGCCCAAGACGGGGCTGTGCACGCTGCGCGCTGGGGTTTGCTCTCAGCCCCGTACGATCTCGCCGAAGAGATCCGGAGACTGCCCCGCCAAAGAGGCGATTCGTGCAGTGCTCCTGCTGCTTCGAACATAGACTCGAACTCTTATTATTATAGCTCTTCCTTTGGAGGACTTGGTAGCAAAAGCCGGAATCAATACTGCGACCCGAAACGGAACCAGCTTTTGGAACTCCTCAATTCACGCACAGCCTGACTCCACATCCGGGAGAGGATCGCTCGCTGACCATTTAAGCACTGTTCTGCCTGAAGCCTCGATTCCTGCAAAGGCTTTGCTAGCAGAAAGCGCGTGGCTCCCGTGCTGCCGAACAAACTAGAAGCATCGTGATCTTGGTGATTCGCGGATGATGGTGATGACCGCAACGATGATTGTGGTGCTGATACTCAGGATGCTGACGGTAACGATGCTGATGCTGCTGAACAAGAACAGGATGATGGCGGCAAAAGGCTGAAGTTGCTGACGATGGCTCTAGAAGAGCACTGATGGACAATCTCATGCAACCACGGACAACTTCCTGGCATAGCGTCAAACCCCCTCCCTCGCAAGCGGTTAGAAGACCTCAGACGCGCAACCTCGAAGCCTCAAACTGCAAAGCAGAGCTGCAAACATGCGCAAGGACTGCGAAGTTCTTCCCACCGGCCAAACCTACGTCCAGTACACGCCCGCTTGTTGCTCGTGTCATTAGGCCCTGTAGAATCGGCCACTCAAACCCTCCTGGGAACCCGCTGATCTTTGAGCACTAGCTCCCAACAGGCATTTTCGCACAAGTCGCCTTTAGAGCAACACTGCCACTGTTGCTATCAACTCTGGCATTTATGCAGCCACTTCAGCATTCTCGGGATCTGCCGCTCCAATCCAAGCAGTACCGTTATTGCAACTCCTATCGTGTATGAGCATAAGGCACCTGCTGAGCAAGAGGGCGGCAGCAATCGAAAGGTGCTGCAGCCTCAGATCTGAGTATACTGCTGCGTCGAACTTGAGGGAAGCGTTCCAGATCATAGCAACGGTCGTAAAAACCCGAGAACGCTACTGATACCAATGGCGAAGATGATGTCAGCCATGGTAGTGGCAACGGCAATGGTAATGATGGTGATGATGCTGCTGATGATGAGGAGGATAATGATGAGGATGATGATGAGGATGAGGATGACGAGGATGATGATTAACGATTGGACTTCTCAGATAGCTGTTCACAGCCATCATTGTATACGAGACCAGTTCATTGTACTAGATTGAATTTGACGTCCTCCAGGTGTTTTTGATCATCATCACATGTGGCAGGACTAATTATCGTCCTCCTCACAGGTCTCCTGAGTACTTTTAGGATGTCTGGTGCTGCACGCTGAAATTATTGCTTCCTTGCAATGTCTCCACGGACGCTTGGGCAGCACTGAGCGATGCCCGATGACATGAAACCCAGAACACCCGCACGATCTGAACACCTTCAACATCAAAATACCAGTGCTGACCTCTGCCGCGGAGCGTCTGTTCGCTAGTTTTTTGCGCAGTGGCAGGAGCCTGCCGGTTGTCAGGATGCATCAATACAAGAAGCACTGGCATGAGCTGTGGTATCGCCATTGGTCTCTACTTCGTATTAATTTGATTTGATGTGGGCCTGAAAGTGTAAAAGTTCGGGGGCCATGCCAAACCACACACAAAGGAACATGCCTACACCCTCACCAGCAAGCCGCATCCTCCAAGATCCAAACCCTGCATTTTCGGCAATGGCTGTGGCCTGGGCGAGCACGGTGGTCTCGACTTTCGAAATCTCCTGCATGCGACGGTGTAGACCGGCTGCATTCAAGGAGTAGCAAGCCACACGTCACATTCAGATCGCTGTGCATTGTGTATGTGAGGGCAAGGGTTCCACTAAGCTAGACAGCACATGCATGCAAGTGCTACATGCGGTGAAAGCTACCGTCGACTTCTGGCTTACCAACACCACGAGGCCTGCTCGCCCTGTAGAAAGGACACGGCTTCTTCCTCGGCCGCTTCCTGGAAGCAGTGGATCGCAGATTCGGGATGACCTATCGGACTATCGCGAACATTTTCGTTTTGAGGCATGCCTGGCAATAGTAAGGCATCCAGGAAATGGCCGGATTCTCTGAGGGCTGCTCGTCGGACCATAAACAGCTCTTCAGCTCCTACATATATATATATATTAGACATTAGACATGTGCAGACATTTGACAAGTAAAACAAGTCAAACTCAAATTCATACAGACACACTTGCTTGATATACTAACTATGTACAGACAATATCAATCAATCCGTATATATATATGTATATATATATTATAGCCAAGCAAAAGCTAGTAGATGAACAATACCCAGCAGACCAGAACAGTTCGACGTTCACGACTTTAAGCTGCAAGCAGCCGAGCCCTGTTTTGAGACTAAGATCTTTGCCTCCTGATCAGCAGCTGCCTTCTGCGTCGGATGAGGCTTGTCGTCCTGTGTGTCGGTTGTGCTTTCGGCACGAAAAGCTTCAGATCATTTCGCATGCGGTGCAGGCTTTTAGGGACTTTTTAGACAGAGCTCTGAAGCACATGAAGCCGAGGTTCTGCAATGACCTTGCACACAGTTTCTGCAGCTCGAGGCTCCACAAATCGACAACATCGGGAGGGCCACCGGGGAAGCTCAGCTCCGACCACAACCCACGATGCTAAAAGAAGCCGTCCTTGGAGTTTGTCAGTCTGTACTGCACCTGCCGGTCAACTGAACAAGGGAACAAACCTGTAGTTTTGAACAGCCAGGGCAGTCACTGGGGTCACTGGGTGGCTTCGACGAATTTGCAGCTTAGACAAACGCCGAGTCTGTGATCCAGTGAACATCGAAACGCAAGCTCCCCAACCATCGTGTTTGCTGCAGCTTAATAACCATATGTAGAAAGCCTGCTGACACCGCCTTACCAAGTGCGGAGTTAGATAGGTGCAGGACTTCGCCTGGGGTTTGGATGCTGGACTGGGCCTAGGTACCACTGTTGGAAGCGGACCGTGGGGAGCAGACCACTGCCGAAAAACAAGCAGAATGCAAGGTCTCGGCGACTGCAAGTTACATCGCAAGTTGGTCAGGGTGTTCGCACTCCCCGACAGAGAAAGAAGTGCCTGCAGCAACAGCAGAGGTTCCGGAATGTCTTCTGCCACCGGCACCTGCCAAAGACAGTCCCGATGCAGGAGCCCGCAGCACGTTCCATCGCAGCCGGAAGAATCTGACATGGTCTTCGTGAGAATGGCTCGGAGAGTGAAGGAACACAAGAAGACGAAGACCGAAGATGCCGTCCCAACACACAGTGCGAACAAGTCGAACTGTGCCAAGGTATAAAAACCTGCCTCCGCTGCCCAGTCGGTGGGATCTGCCGCTGCGGTCACCAGCAGCGCAGTAAGGGCAACACCGCCTGATGAATGCACCATCTGCAGACTCAGGTCATCTTTCGCCTGCAAACCTTTGAATCATGGCAAAAAATCTCCGCTTTTGAGTTGTTGATGTCTCTCTGCCTCTCAAGCAGCCCCCAGTGGGGGCACGCTCCCTTGTCCGTCTATAGCCCATGCGACGTCGGATGTCATTGACTTATGTCGAGGTGGAGCTGCGTAGTCACATGTAGACGACATGAGCCGTGCTGCGGGCAGGCTGCAGGGCGTCAGCCTGCTTTGCTGCTGGCGCCGTGGATGCCTGTGCTCTTGCTGATGTTCCTGCTGTCGGCGTTTTTGCGGCGGAGGTGGTGGTGGTTGTGCTCTTCTGTCGCCAGCGCTGCTGCTCCTGCTTTGGCTGTTGTTGTCGCGGTATTGTTGCTGTTGCGGTCTACTGTGGAGGTGGTGGTGCTCGTGCTGCTGATGCTGCTGCCTAGCTTGGAGTTGGGAAGGCAAAAACATTGTGATTGCAATTGCTTTTCTGCCAGCTCGCTGTTGGCATCGTGGACATGTTGCCATTGCTGATATTTCGAAGTCTCTATGTCAGACTTCGGCCACGGAGCCCCTGCTTTCCTTGGGCGAATGTAGTGCTTCATGCCTGCATGTGCGCCTATCTACATGGACATCCATAGCATTAAACTCGTGTTCCGAATCACCCATCACAAGCATTTCCATTCGCGTCGGAACCTACAGGCATTTCGACGAATGTCAGTCGATGTTATCCTGGCTCACTGGTGATGCGCATGTTGTGGACGTGGTGTTACCGATATTGTTCGCGAACATTACAAGTGAACCAGACACCCGAGCGACTGGCAGATAAAAAGAAGCTGAACACTTACGGCTTCATGATAGTTTGGACTCTTCTATCCCAAGCTCTGTGCTCGTCAGGGCTATTTCGATAAAAGAAGACCAAGCCTTTGGATGAGACAACGAAGGTCTCGCATCACAACGAACAAGTGCCCCCACCGCATTGTGATTCGGTACGATAAGAGCTAAGGTTGCAGCGCATGGCGATTGTTCCACGCAGATCCTCGGCTGGACCGAAAGACACTGACCCCGATAGATTATGCTTTCATGCTTGGCCACAACGCCAAGCATGCGGAAGGGCATCAGCCGAGCTCGGAGGAGACACAAGTGATATCCAGCCCAACACCCGCCCCTGGTGCTGTCCGAGGGTCTCTCGAAGCTTCCTTTCTGAATGAGTTCAGTTGTCCTCAGAGATGAACATGATGCTTACTTCATCAACTCCTGTACATAGGCCGTAGGCGCATGAACATGAACTGCTCCGTGCTCTCGGAGGATCGAAGTTCGAAGGATGCGAGGCTTTTGAAGTTCAGTCAAGGTTGAAAAAATGCACACAGAGATCATGCCTCGAAAACATGAGCATGTCAGACTGCTGTCAAGCTTGTCATCACAGACAAACCTTACATTAGCTTTTGACCCGACGACGTGCGAATTGCAACAGCAAGTTGCAGCAGGCACCCTAAAGGCCACAACCAATTTTTAAACATATCTGCGAGTCAGGCACGGACATGAAGATACGGTGGCGCGTGACAGCTCCCGAGGGCTACGTCGGAGCTGAAAGGTGGCTGCCAGGCCGAGCAAGCTCACAGCAATGGTCAAGGCAAATGCCGGGACGAGCTTGCAGGCTTCTTAGAACAGCCTTAAGAATATGCTGAGTACGTGCGACGTATATGAATGCATAATGTTATCAAGGGCGACCTGTCATGTAGACCCCGCGCGCCCCGGAAGTGCAACTCTGCTGAGGAGATGCCAGGCTTAGGATGCAGGATCCCTCTTTTATAATTACGTGAACATGTGGGAACTGACAGGAAGACAGTTCTAAACGGATGGGTTTTCTGAGACTCACTGCACGCAGTCATTGCATATATTGCATCCATGCCTCACTCTGATGTACTGCCATACAATATATAGAAGCTGGGCGTCTCTGGAAACCGAGAAGTCGCTAGACTATGCTCGACCTGCTGGAATCACGCGCCTCCTCCCAACACCACGTGAAATGCAGGGAGCCATCATTTCGCCTGAAGATATGCTCGGAGAGTACAGGAGCTCTCGGGTCATTCTTCGTTCCCTGCGCCTCCTGGATTTCCAGCGCAGCAGCACTGCTACAATGCCCCCGACTTCCTCCTAACGTAAGCACCACTGACCAGCAGTCCCCGAAAAGCACTGCCGGGTGACGAGACTTTGATGGAGCGACCGTCACTGGTGCTGCGAAACCTCAGTTCCAGGAAAGCTGAAAACCTAGAAGAGTGGCTCGAAAACTCAAAAGCTCCTGCAATTAACCCCTAAGCGCCCTAAACTTTCGTAAAGACAGAAGGCGTCGAAGCTTACTCGAGGGCAGAAAAGCCAACACAACGCACAGAGGATGTAGAACGTTGCTCCGGTCTCTCGAAGGCATTCACAAGTTCCCCAAATCGCACAACCCTGCTATGACAAGCGGCACTTGCAGCCCTTGCAAATGCAACCGCATCATGATCATGATTGAGGACATGCATACGAGTTCATGGAGGGGGGTTCATCCGCATGAATTTCGTGGTATATCGGAGATACTCAGGCAAGAGAAGCAATCCTGGAGCAGTTCTTGAAGGTGATTGGCGCGAGTCTTTGCCGGCGGCTTCGAAGTATTAGACCTGTACTACAGTGAGAAGAGCAACTCACAGATAGTCGCCAACACGAGTGCGTCCGATCACTTTGCCTCATAGAGTGTGGCGGAACTAGGTCGTCCAGCTGCTCAGCAAGAGGCTTCGAAAATTGAAAGGCGGTGTTAGTTAAGGCAGCTCCAATTTCCCCTTTCTGGCCGTCGGGATGCTTGTGCCGCGCGCTGCGGACATCTGGCATGTCGAAGAGAACCTTCGAAGGAGATCGACTATCCTTGATGCTATCTAGAAGAAGTCAGAACACTCGAGACAAGCATGTCCGATCGGTAATCTGCCATCTTCCACGGAATCGCGCTAAGCAACTACTTCAGAGTCCATCCTTGGCGACAATCGCTGTTCTCCGTGGCCAATGCAGGAGCGCTGCCCGCTGAAGGCCTCGGAAAGATATTTGATTTTGGAATGCTTGCTTTTGTCCATTGGGAGTCTTCGACCTGGTGCGGCTTAGGGCCAGGGGTTTCATGCAGCAATTTCGTCCTCGGCCTGTTCGAGTAAATGTGCATGCCATTGAAAACTGCCTCAGCTATTATAGCCTTCAAGTCTCTAACGGCTCCTCGCAGCACTCTGATCAACAGCATTGCTACTGGGCCTATCAGTTGAAAGTAATCCTGCAATGAAAACTGTAATGAAACATTATTCAAATTATTCAATGACTGTTGTTCTGATCCCAACCACTACATCTTTCGCCACTACTAGTACGGTTTACGGCATACACCTACTCGCTGTAATGTCACTATCATCATTGCCATTACGTGACCATCCACTACATAAATTCTAAACCCCTGAGGCTGTCCTGAAGCTCAAACCCATCAAATTCGAAGAAATCTTCCATATCCGACTCCCCAACACCTCAACTTGCAGGCTACTGCCACCGGCCCCTAAACCAAACGGATTATGCAGCATGCGTCTATCTTCGGATTCAAGCAGCAGTACAGCCGGCGGTTGTCAAAGGTGAACCTGACTTCAGCTGATCATGATTACTGCTGCTTTTGTGCGATTACGACTGTCGTTGGCACGGTCGCGATTATCAGCAGTGGTAGCAGCTGCGGTTGTAATGCTTTCTGTCAGGCATTATTCCTAGACCCACTGTGAGCACAGCAACCGTCACCATTCTCAGAAGTGCAAGTTGCTGACGATCATGAAGATGAATCTTGCTGAAAACTAGTAGCAGAAGCAGTAGTAGTAGTAGTAGTAGGAGGTATGTGTATGTATGTATGTATGTATGTATGTATGTATGTATGTATGTATGTATGTATGTATATGTGTATGTGTGTGCGTATGTGTATATGTATGTGTATGTGTATGTGTATGTGTATGTGTATGTGTATGTATACGTATATGTATATGTATATGTATACGTAATCTATATGTATATGTATATTGCTGCGTACGTGTATGTGTACGTGTATGTGTATGTGTATGTGTATGCTTATGTGTATGTGTGTGTATGTGTATGTATGTGTATGTACGTATGTATGTATGTATGTATGTATGTATGTATGAGGGTATGTATGTGTGTGTGTTTGTATGCATGCATGCATGCATGCATGCATGTATGTATGTTTGTATGCATGCATGCATGTATGTGTGTAGGTCTATATGTCCGTATGTATGCATGTATGTATAGACATTTATGTATGTACGGG